AACAAATTAATTGAGATTTAAGATGGTGAGAATGATATGCTCTCGTATTAATTTGTTCTTGGTGCTTCTGAAGCCCCATTGAATGTCATACCTAAGCTATAATGTTCAGGTGGTCTTCCAAAGGCTGATGAGGTTGTATCAAAAGGAACTGACACAGCAATGCGATGGAAGAGAGTAGTTAACATGTGTGTGTGTGCATGCACACCTGAGTGTGTTACTTGTCCTTCTAATGGGATAGCTTCTACAGCTGCTCTACCTGCAGTGTTTTTTGGATTGGTATTCCAGAGGTTACTGGCGGCAGACAGATGATTTTAATATTCCTGTAATGTGGAATGCTGTGTTAGCATTTAGATAACCTTATTTTTTCCCCCTTAAACGCTCCTTGATGAGTGATACTGGCACAGGGTTCCTGCCTCCCTGAGCCATAGTTCACTTCATATCTGTTTCCTCTGTAAATCCCTTTGCATGTGGTCAGCTTGCAAGTCACTAGTGAGAGCCTGCCAGCTTATATGTTGTCTGATTGCTTTCACAAATGTGGCTGACTTTGATCTTTCTGAGAAAATAGACACTGAATACAACTCACGTAAAGCACAGACGGTGTCTGTAGAGTGGATGTGGAAAGGTAGAAGGGTTAACCATGACATGTTCTCTTGAAATGGTTTTATGACTGCTGCAAATTTGAATGTTCTGTAATAGAGATCTGCTGGATTGAGGGGTTACCCTTCGCTATTAATGACTCATTGGCCTCCTTCCCAAGCTGCCTGAAGTGCTGCTCTCCCTAGTGGAAGTAATTTTGTCTTTGAAGTACTTTCCAGAGCTGTCAACTAATGTTCCACAGTTCCCAGAGGAAATAATGAGCCATGAGTGTATGTACACTGAAAAAATGGACTCTGAAATGAACTGTTCCTATAGGAGCCTGGCAGTCTGCTTCTCTGTGGAATTCAGCTTGTTTATACAATCTTATCTGGCTAAGCTTTGGTATTTCATCTGGCAGGCAGCTCCTATGAAAAGCAGCTGTCCAAGCAATGGGAGTGGTGCTCCTGGTGGCTTTTTCAGAAGGTCTATAATTTCTTCCTTCATGTAAATTAAAGAAACACAATACTCTTTTGGCTACAACCAGATGCTCTAAGCAGTTTTCTTACCCTTATAAATAGCTCTTTAAGTGTGCTGTGCTGTACTCTGTGACTTATGACGGCAACCAGGAAGAAGGTATAATGTATTTTCTAAGTCATGAGTTGATAACAAAATTGTTGGAGGAGTAAATACCTCGAAAGTGTGGGCATCTGTAATTTTTTAGATATGTTTTAAAAGAAATTGGTTTAGTAAAATATCCATACTTGAAAGCAAAAACCACCTTTATTGGTTTTACCGTTGCTGGACAAGAGGCAGTTCCACCAATTGAGGTGAGAAAACACTGGTATAAAGAAAACTTACCACAAGTGTATTTCTATATGAAGAGAGCTGTAGCATATATAATCCCTACCAGAAAGGTTCTGATGGGTAAGTAGGTAGTGACAACTATTTCAAAGAAAGGAGACAGGAAAAAAAACCTAACAAAAACAACCCACAAACATTAACAGGAAGGATACAGGCATCCAAAGTACTTAAAGTTTTTATTGCTATTTATTACCAGATAGCAGATTGTTCTGAAAAATGTAGTTTGTGGAGAACTGATGCAGTAACTTTCAGTGCCTATAGGAAAAAAAGGAAGAGGGTTTTTTGGGGTGTGCTTACGTGTAGGACAGAACTAGAGAGCTGATGGTTCCTTCTCCAGCTGTGGTAAATGTTTTGGGTTTTTTTTCTCTAGAAAAGATGAACAAGATGACTTGTTTCCTATTGAAGATAATGGGCCCAAATAAAGTTTAGATCTAAGTCTTTCAAAATTCAGTGGTTATCCATGATTATCCAGTTCACAGCCTGTCTGTGTCTGAAATTGTATTTTGTACAGGTGAATGTTCGGTGCAATCTGCCAGATTGTAAAGAATGGAGGCTGTACTCAGCACCTAAAAGTTAATTCTCCTTCTGTCATCTGTGCATCACATTTCACTCTGACCACTGTTCAAGACAGAAAAACATAACACCCTGTAAAATACGAGACATTAAGTACTGCTTAGATGTGCCACTGGATGGCACTTGTCCTGCCAGCATGCATACAGATTTATGTAGCCTTCATTCTGCAAAAGGAGGACTTGATATTGCAACAGGAGAAACATGAAATACAAGCTCTATCTGGTTTATATACTGCACACTTGTCTACCTTCGGATCAGGATTCAGGCACAGTCAGTTTTGTTAGCTAAAAGGGCATTCTTGCTTGGAATCCTGCATGGTGAAGAAATTGAAAACCTAGTAACTGACCTTCATTCAAAGCGTGTTGTTGTAAATTATGCAGTGATAGGGAGCTTTCATTTTGGTCTGACACATACCACCTGAACAGTGCATAACTGGAAAGAGGTGACAGGTCACTGTTTGACCACCCTGTAGCTGCTGAAAGGCGGTGGTATTTGGCTGACTTCTCCCAGTTCTGGTGAGGAGGGAAACTTTTCTTGAGATTGACTTTCTGCTGCCCCAGCAACAACTGATGTTAAACTTCAGTATGGATACTTGGCTTTATTCCTGCTGAAAAAGTAGAAGCTTGGAATAACATGACAACCTGTTTTGTTCTAGCAGGTCATCTTGAATACAAGCAATGCGATAATCCCTGTATTGTCAAGGAATGTATATTTTGTACTTGAATTTCTTCCAGAAAATAGTTAATTGTGTGTTACTTTTGTATGTTTTTTTCCTTAAAAGCACTCCAAATTAACTCCCTTTCTCCATCCTGCAATAGATTTTAACAGTTTCACCTTTTAAAGTTGGGTCTTCATTTTTCTCAGAAGTGATCCTATGGAGAATCAGAATCAAAAACTGATGCCTGATGCTGTCTTAAAAACAGATCCAGTCAACAGTGCACCGACTTCATTTTTTAATCTTTTCCAGCCCTGGAATACTTGAATTTAAAAAATGGTCAATAATCCAGTATAACATAACTTCTAATCTCTCCTCCTGCCTCGTGGTTCATGGTTTGGAGGAGAACGAGCATTTTTGTGGCAGACTGGGCTCTTTATTATTAGTGGTGGTGGTTATTTGGAAGTTGCCCAAAGGTCGTGAATGCTGGCAGTCATCTAGGGAGACAGATTAGTGGGCTCAGCGCAGGTGAGGAGGTCATAAAAGCAAAATAAGGACTTTTTTTTGTCATTGCCTTCATTGTTCAGCCAAAAGAAGCAACTTCAGACATGTCCCACCTGTACGCGTCAGATGGACCATTGTGCTTCTTTAGTTTACCTATGAAATTAATACTCAATTATGACAAGCTTGAATGTTGTGAGAATTAACTCTAGGTTGTTCTTGTTATTTTAAGGAGAAGAAAACTCTTGTCAGGAAATCATCTGATCTGGTAAAATGCTTGCAGGCCAGTCTTACTCATTCAGTCTTAATAATCATATACAGAGGTGCAGGGAACAGCTACCTGGGTGTTGTCAGCAGAGAGAGGGATGACTGGGGCATGTTTAATTTTACCTGCAGTGCAATGAACTGCAGTCACCAGACTGATTTTCTGAGTCTTAATGACATGCAGCTTTTGGTTTGAGTTTAGTTTTTGCGTGGTACAAGAGGCAGTTTCAAACAAAAACTTGCATGTAATGTAATTTTAACTTTACCCCAGACTTTCATTTTAAGATGGTAAAGTTTGCCTCGGTAGCATGCTTTTTCCAACCTTTGTTATCTAGAGATATTATTTTACTTTCTCAAGTGTTGTTATGCAGGATTAATTTATATGAGCAAAACCTTCACCACACTTCTGTAAACTAATTGTATTTCTGTATTTTACTGCTTGTCTTCAACAGTAAACTGAAAGTCTGTTCGTTTTTATCTGAATAGTGTTAGCATGTTTAAACCCCTGGTGAAATGCTTTTCTAGCTAGTATTGTGCTTCATGTTCAAAATATGCACAGTATTTCTAATGTGAACTGCAGTGGCACATTTTTTTTACACTAGGTAATTCATGAATATTTAGGTATTTTTTGCAAAGCACAAAATGAGTTTCTTACATGAAATAACGTGTCAGTGGGCATTTGTGTATTGTTCAGCTGGTTTAAAGTAGATCACTTTGCACATGCCCTGGAAGTGCATTGAATACATTGACAGAGACCAAAGTATTTTAACTTCTGCAGTAGATCTGACAAAGGCTGCTTTCCTCTGGATTTTTCTCAAGAGTGGGAGGGTTTGTGCAAGCCCGCATCTGTTCTGTGCTCCTCAGCATATGGACTATGCAACAGGGCAGTTTCTCTCTCCCCTCTTCTATTCTGCTTGGCACCTTACTTCCACAATTTTTCTTTTTTTTTGTTGTTGTTTTAAATTTAACACTTTAGCACTTCCTGTGGCTGTCAAATTCTTCAGAAATTAAAATATTCCAAAGAGAAGAGTGCAGCGTTGATAGGTGTGTATTAACATAAATCCCTCAGTGAAAGTGGCTAGGCTAAAAATACATATCCAGCTAACTGTCTCATACCCTGCTTTTGTGTTTGTGCTTGAGGTCTGCTATCAGTTAATGCTGTGACAGGTATTAAAATATTCTTTCATTCAGACTTTTATATTAGGAATTGTATACACATTTTTCTCCATGTGACATATATGTATAAAATTACTATCTAACTCTGAAAATAGAGTGTCGTATAAGAAGGTGTATCAGGCTTGCAGCTGCAAGTAATTCCATGCAAGAGTATGAAATCAGAAGTCTCCTTCCTCAGAATGTGGAAGATATATGGATAAGGCATTGGAAACAGCTAATTCATTCTGAATGATGTGTCAATGGACTTAAACTGAAACAAAGGTGAGGGTAAGCAGAAGAATTTGACTTCTTCTGTATTATTGGGAGTACAGCTTCAGTGAACCAGAGTAAGGAGGGAAAACTCCCTGCAGTTTGAATCATTCTGTTTGATACAGTGGTACGTTTTATCTTTCAGATGAAGTGGACTACAGTAATTTTGGGACCAACACGTTGTCAAGGAAGAAGAAGGCTCTGGTGACACTCCGCAACGACAACCTCCGCCGGCGTCCTCACATTAATATCGGCATGCCTCACGATTTTAGGCCTGTGTCTTCCATAATCGATGTGGACATTCTTCCTGAAACACACAGGAGAGTGAGGCTGTATCGACACGGGTGTGAGAAACCTCTAGGATTTTACATACGCGATGGCACCAGCGTAAGGGTTACTCCTCACGGACTGGAAAAAGTACCTGGTATCTTCATCTCTCGTATGGTTCCTGGGGGCTTAGCAGAGAGCACAGGTTTGTTGGCTGTAAATGATGAAGTCCTGGAAGTTAACGGCATTGAAGTAGCAGGAAAGACTCTCGACCAAGTCACAGACATGATGATTGCTAACAGCCATAACCTTATTATCACGGTCAAGCCAGCGAACCAGAGGAACAATATTATTCGGAGCAGTAGGATGTCTGGTAGCTCTGGGCAGTCTACAGACAGCACCGCTAGTCACCACAGCTTGCCTACATCTCACGTACTGCAGAACTTCCACCCTGATGAAATGGAGAGTGACGAAGAGGCTGACATCGTCATCGAGGGCAGTCTGGAGCCGCAGCACATTCCCAAACTGCACAGCCTTACTTCCAGTAGCCTCTCTAGAATCAATGGCAGCAGCCTTAGCCACAGACTTCAAAGGGACCTGGTGCTCAACAACAACTCTGGCCGAGAAAGCAACGGCAGCATCCACAAATTACTCAGTTCCTTAAAAACTGATCCCAGACACAGTCTGGTTATTCCCCGAGGAGGAATTGAGGAGGATGGCACAGTTATTACGCTTTAGTAGCAATTGCTGCAACTCTTTTCAGTCTTAAGTGCCAATGGGGACAATTGACTCTTAGAACTTGTTATGCACAAAACAGAGCTGATATTCTCATAGACCTCACAGGTGCAGAATATTTTTGCTGTCTAGGAAACATGGCATTTGGAGTTAGAGAGAAGACTGCCATGCACTGCAAAATTGATCAGGAGAATGCCAGAGTGTAAAAGCTGGTTTATATCTCAGTCCTAAAGTAAGAGGGCAGATTAGTTGTAGTTTGTATAAATTAAAGCAGTTTTACAAGCTACCACTGGCAGTGCTACATGCTTGGGTTTGAATGCATGGGTGGATGTATTTATACACGCATGTATATGAGTTAGGTTTTAATAGTAATAACAGATGTCTATTTGAAGTGGAATCTGTTTTTCCTCTGATACGAGTTTTAAAAGAGTTCTTCTCAATAGCATTACATACAGACCTTCTGCTAATTTGTTTATACCACATTTGCAGTGTTATGTCTAAACCAGACAAGCTCTGTAAAAGTAGTTTTCTGCCCTAGTGGTAACAATGGTAGGGAGATGCTGCAAATGCATTTCCTAAATGAAAAAATGTATGTATTTTTTAAAGTGTAGGGAGAGGAGGTTAGAGGGTGATGTTATTGCTTTGGGATCAGCACCACCTGCTGGTCAGAGGCAGATCTGCCTGCAACACAGATCTATACTATATGGGAAAACAAAATCATGACATGAGGGCTTAAAACTGTTCATTATGTGTCAAATGTATTATTTTTGATATTTATTAGATAATACCTCTTTTTCAAATTTTCTCACCATCTCTTTTTCAGTATCAAGTTCATGTGAATTCTAGGGATACATTACACGCAAGAAGGTGAAAAGAAATGGAAGAGTGCTAGGACTGTTTCCTTCCCCACCAAGATAGGTTCTCGCTGTATACAGCCTAAATCCTGGAGGTCCTTTCTTACCAAAATTTGGCCAATTGCTATACCAAGGAGGGATGCTGACTGTCTTTCAAACCTAACTTAGGATAGTTCTATTGTTTTTGAACTCTTCTAGTAATCATAAAGCTTTATGTCTACAACAATATGCTGGATGTTGGCGGTGGCCAGACATCCCTACTGGATGCTAGTTAAGGGGTAACCAGTGACTGCTGAGTGGATAACTGCTCACATCTGAAATGCCATGAATTTGTTAAAATGATCAAATCTAAAGTATTTTGTTACATCTCAATCAGTGTAAGGAGCAAAATATAAATGTTTTACAATGTATTTTTCTACTTTTAGCTTGTCTTTTTCTTTTTGTTTTTAACTTTGTAGTACATTAAAGGTTTTTTTTTATATGGTGAAATAGACATTTCTTAAATATTGTATGAATATGTAAATTCAGAAGTCTTGGTTTGAAAAAAAAAAATTACATTCCATTTTGGAATATGTAATGACTGGACAAAGGATATGTGGACTAATTGATTATTGCTAATTTAGAATGCCTGTGGAACAACCAGTCTTCTGCTCATTGTTAAGTATGTTTGGGACATTGAACTTAGTATGTTTCTTTTAGGTTTGCTTTAAAAGTTTATTTTAAGACTCTTTAATTAAACCTTTTCTAGGTGTCACAGCAGTTATAGAGCTATACTTATTTTTCCCAGCACAGTAAGAATAGCACATTGATCCTATGTCTTAAATACGTGTTTGTACTTTACCAAAGGTTTTCATTAAAAAAAAAAAGTGATTATATTGGTGCAGTAAAAAACTGAATAGCTGGATACGCTTCAGTCAGTCACACCATCTTATCAGGAGGGTTTTGTTACACCTTCTTTAAATAAGTTGTTTTGCCTGGCTGAGGGTTACTCATTTTGCCTTATTTAACTGATGAAATTGTGACCTGTCTGCAATAAAATGTGCACTAAGCTTACTTCTGTGCTATATCCTTTCCCTTATCCTGAAGGGCAGGAGTACAGTACTTCTGTAGGAGTATCACACTTCCTTGGTGAAACAAGGTATGTTTTTTGGGTATGTTTTTGACAACTTCAGGGTTGCCTCTTGCTGCAACCGTGCAGTGAAAACCGAAAGAACCAATGTTTCTTCCCACATCTTCCCTTCCTGCTTTATGAATGGTACTGTTGCATTGATCCCCGTGGGGGCTCTGCTCTTTGTAGCAAGGCTTTCTTTGAGACTCCAGTCTTCCTTCAGGCCTTCACCTGGTTCTGTCTCCTCAGGAAAAGCTTAAGGCACCTTTCTCATGGTGAGGTGCGGCAGCTCTGCTGGGAGGAGGCTGGGTGTCTCACCAGCTCATGCACTGTTAGAAAATACCCAAATCTGGTTCTGCATGCGGAGGGGGAGACAGTGCTGAGGTGAGAAATGCAGCTTAGTGGAGAGGAGTGGCGGGGCGTCACAGGGGCAGAGCAGTGACAGAATTGCAAACATTGTCTTCATTTGCATCAACTAGAAAAAAGAAAACAACCAAACAGCCTCAAACCCCCTGCTTCTGTTTTTGCATGCACCATCCTACAAACGCAAGTCCCGTGTGTGGATATCGATGATCTCCGTGCAGGTAGCTCTCGCTAGCAGAAGCCTCCTGAGGCAGCGGGGCCGTAAAGTCCCGGGGAGCCGTAAGCAGCGGGGCCACCCCCCGCGGCCACGGGGCGGGGCGCGAGGCGGCGACACCGCGCATGCGCCGGCGGCCGCTCACGTGATGGAGGCGTCGCCTGACGGGCGGCCGGGCGGCGGTATGGCGGCTGCGGGGACAGGGGCCGAGGCGGCGGGGTTCTGCTCCGGCGGGGACAGCGGGAACGTCTCACAGAGCCACAGCAACGCCTCCGGGCTGGGCGGGCAGGAGGACGAGGAGGGGGACGCGCTGGACGCGTCGCTCAGCGCAACCGCCGCCGCCTATAGCGCGTACCTGCTGGTCGAGCGTAGCGCCTTCAGCGAGCAGGTGGGCGGGCGGGGTGCCCCTGCTTTGTGCTCGGCGCGCTGCCGTTCGCTTGGTGTCTGCGCTTGAGGCTGTGCACCCCGAAAGCATTTAAATGCGTTTTGCAGGTGGAAAGCTTAGAGAAGAGCCTGGAAGAGCTGCTGACGAGAGTAGACGAGTTTGTGGGGATGCTGGACATGGTACGTGGGAGGCGCCGATCTCTTGTCCAACTTGCTGCTTTTAATCTTGGCGTTGGTTTGGTTTTTTTTCGCCTAGTATTTTTAATCCATTTGTTTTAATCCGCTCAGTGGGAGCACAGTTGTAGTTTTATAAATGAAATCTAGTATTTAATGCTTTGCTCTATTCATCGATTTATGTATAATCCTATCAACTCACCCTCTATAGATTCGAAGTGATTCATCCCAAGTTGTCAATGAGAGCATACCTGAAATTTACACCAAAGCTACCGAGATGAGGCAGATATACAGGAGGATTGACAAGCTGGAGGTACGTGTTTGGCAGCCTCTGGCTGTGTTCCCAGACTCAGGAGGTCCCCCTCTGTGTCAGTCATTGATATGCATAAATGTGCAGTGGGTTCACTTCTTCATTTGCTCCAGATTCACTGCTTGGGGATAATGAAAAGAATGCAATTGCTGAACAGTTTCCTACATTCTAGAACAAAACGTCTTTTGGTTTTCAAATGGGCTGCTTGAAGCAAGGCAGCTATCCTTCTATTTTCAGAAAGCCAATAGTATTGCTTTTTCTTCTTTTTTTTTTTTTGTAGCATCTTTCAAAGTCACTGTGAAAACTATCCTGAGACTAATGAAATGAGAGAACTGTCAATTTCTGGTAAAGCTTCAACGCTCCAAGTGATTCACCTTCTTGATCCCACTTTCTATAGAAAAACATATAGGTATCTAAATTCTAAGAAATTGCCCAAGGAGGTTGTGGATGCCCCATCCCTGGAGGCATTCAAGGCCAGGCTGGATGTGGCTCTGGGCAGCCTGGTCTGGTGGTTGGTGACCCTGCACATAGCAGGGGGCTTAAACCTGGGTGATCATTGTGGTCCTTTTCAAGCCAGGTCATTCTATAATTCTATGAAATCTAAATTAATTTCTTGAAAAGTAGATAGGAAGGGTCAGACTAATTGTTTCATTAGATGTGACCTGTTTTTGCAGTCTTGAGTATCTCATGAGTGATTTGTGGCAATAAATTGGACTTGCAGATGAAAGGGGAATAGAGTATAAGTGGTTTTCTGCTTTTTCATTAGCAATACTTTCTTTCACTGCTTTTTTGTAATACAAATCCTGTTTTAACGTGAATTAGTGAAAATGTTGTGCTGCTTTGTTCTTCTTTCTTCTCCTCGTGTAGGCTTTTGTGAAGATGATTGCAAACCTCGTGGCTGGAATGGAAGAACGGGTTGTAAAGGCAGAAACAGACCTTGGAGCTTTTCCAAGCACATTCAAGAAAATCTTGCACACGATCAGCATGCCGTCCTTCCGTAATGTAAGTAAGCTTTAGTTCTCTCTGCTTACCAGTAGACACTGGTACAAACTAGAACAATAAATGGTAGTTTGTTACACATATAAATGAATTTCAACATCAAACTCGTGTACTTTATTAATACATTTGCAAAGTTCTCAGGTTTATCTGAAACAACATCAACAAAAAAAAAAACCCTCACAAGTTCTGACAAGTGAACTGACAAATTTTGAGTTATGCTTCAAAGTAAGTTTGAATATATGAAGAACGGGAACCTGAAGGGCCCAATAGGAACATGTAATGAGTAAGCCCATATTGAAGCATCCCTGATCTCTGACAGTATGCAAAGCAGGTAGGAAGAGCCTACACGGATAACACTGCTGAAGCAATATGATGCATTAATGCAGTTACTGCCAAAAGTTAGCAGAATAGGAAGTAAAAACTGTGCTACACAATATACTTACTATAAAGGTTGAATTTATCCACAGTCCACACAGTTTGGTAATGGTGTTAGCATCTTGTCAAACTGTCTGAAAGGGATGTGTGTTTTTTTCTACCTTCCCTCATGACTACATGCAGTCTGTTTTTCTGCAGAAGACATGAAGTACCCTCTGTAGAATGTTTCAAGGTGATGCCATACCAAGCCTTAAACAACTGACACTGTGCACTACTTTTTAAAATAACCTTTGAATTTAAAAAAAAAACAAAACACCAAAAACTTCCGGCCTCACATCTCGTACTTCTTGTCATCATCTGCTATAATGGACCATATACCACATTCTAGCGTGTCTCTCTGCATCTTGTCAGCACCCAGTCTTTCCTTTATCCTTTCCTATGTGCATCCCATTCTAGCTCAGGTATCCATCTCGTATTAGTGAGAATGCTGAAATAAAGTCAGTTTGTGGAGTGGGAGAGGAAGATGTGTTTGCTGAAGTATTATTTATTATTTGCTACATATTGTAACTTTGTGTGGCAGCAAAAAAACAAAAAAATCTGAAAAGAATATTGTCTTGGTAAGACTTGGTTCAGGAGCACTATTTGCTGCTAGTCATTAACTTCCAGGTCCCTCATTTTCTTCGGTGATTAAATTCAGTGGTGCCCCTTCTTTCTAAAATAAATAAGAAAATAAATGAACAACATGCAAAGCAAACAGCATCACAACTGCTATGTGTGGGCTAATTAAAAAAGCAAACAACTCTGGCAGCTGTGGATAGGAGCATCATAGCTTTAACTTCACCCTTGAAAAATATTCAACAGGATTTTCTGTAAAGTTTTCAATTTAGAAGTTTGATAGTTCTAATAAAATGCTTTTTCGTGTTGCATGGGAACATTTTGCCAGCAGTTTTTCAGCAATAAAGAGGGTGGAAAGTCATTCATCTGTTTTGTGGGTGTACTCTTAAGCTTCAAGTATGCTACTGTTAACTCTATCACTGATGAAGACTCTCCATCTCTTTGCTCCAGACAGGCAAAAAAGCTGAAAAACTTCACATGCAAACTGACTGAGAGCTCTGCAAAACTGTTTATCAGATTTTTCATGGGAAGTTTCATAAAAGTTTTTTCTTTTTTTATTTCATAAAAGTTTTTAATTAATCAAAACACAATTTTAAGCCTTTTCTTTAAGGCCATATGTTGAAAATATACCCTGACTCTGTGTTGCCATGCAGCGTTATTTACATACAAGAAGGCTGACAGAACAGTCAGTAGTGGTCCTTGCTGTTGTCTACTTGAGCAGTTTTAGTAAACAACGCATAGTTATAATAATTATGTGATACATAGAGAGTATTGAAGATGAATGTGTACACTTTTCCTGAAAAGCAGCACAACAACTCTTCCCCAGTTCACTACTGTATTATTTTAACCATAGGTCATAGTATGTGTAGTGTAATATATGCTTGATGCAGAAGCTCAGCAGGAGCAGCAAACCTGAAAGAAACATCTGCTAGGTTTGATTTCAAAAGAGGACTGTTTTAAGCAAATAAGTGATAATACAGGCTAAGGCTAATTTGAAGGAAGCAGCTGAGAAGATCTCAGAAGGCTGGAGCAGGAAAGGTAAAAGTTTGTGGAGCAAAAAAATTTTACTATGACTTGACTGTTTCCCATTTGGCTCCTGCAAAGGCTGGCATGTTTTGCACTTTTCAAGACTGAGTTTATTTAGGTGATGAAAGGGCAAAAGTCAAAGTAACACGAAGAATAAGTGAGATCCATCTGAGCTGCAATGTGAAGTTCACCTGAGTGAGGGAATATGGCTTTAAAACTCCTTTTGTTTTCCACTTCAGTTCTGTAGGTTCTCTGAAACTTGATTTTTTACAAAAGCAAAAAATGAACTTTATCTGATTTGCAGAAATCGTCTTCCTCACGACAGCAGACTGCCTATGAGCCTCCTGTCCTCTTCAAGACTGAAGATTATTTTCCGTGCCCTAATGAAGCACCTTATTGACCGTTTTGGTTTTGGAGTTGGTATGAATCAGCCAGAATAGAACAAGCCAAGTGAACAAAAGAAATGACAGCCTCAAAATAGCTGC